AGTCTTACGCTGCTAAATTAGGGACGGCTAGCGCAGATAGCTCTCGTGTAGCTTTGCGCGAAATTCAAAAACAAACATCAAAAAACAAACCGATTCTGTTAGTGAAACTGTTCTACAATGCTCGGAGTGTAAAGTAATTTCGAGGCCTAAGCTCAACGTTACAAACTTAACTGCCATTACAATGTAATCTAACTTGGACGAAAATGAATCACATTATGAATCACGTTTGATGTCTGAGATTTCAACTTTAACTGACAGTGTAGTGTTGGAAAAGTTTCCTTGTATAAAAGTAAGTAATCTTCTAGCAGGTATTAAGAATAATAGATTCAGAGTATGGTAGAATCCACCAGCTAATCACTGTTTCATGATAACAAGGCCTAGAGAATTCCTGTGTAAGTGGTTGAAGCTTCATTCATGATTGACTTTAAGTCACAGAAGATAAAGAAAATACTGTCATGTTTGTGTTCTTTTGTTATTGTTGTTGTTTTCGGCTTAACAAAAGATAGTCGTGCAAATGAAAGCCTTAAGACTATTTTGCGTATCTGATTTTAGGAGAAATAAGAATGCACTGCATGTGAATTAAATGTCACCAGAAGCAATCGATCATAAAACTAGAAGAGGTTAGGAAAGCTCTTGGGAGAAAAGTTCACGCTGTTTCAATTCATCTAGAAGACAAATTAAAGAGGACGACTGATCGAAACCACCATCACATCGTCCCCAATTGAAAATAATATTGCTTCGTGGCCGACAAGACACTACACTAAGGAGCTCCGTGATTACACTAAGGAGCTCCGTGATGACAAAGACTATTTCAGATATCTCGTCAACTGCAGTCTCCATCAGTCGATCTAGTTCAGTTTTAAAAACAGTCATAACTCTCCTCAAGAAGCATAGAATAAAAAAAAAACAGAATGTTTAGTGATATTTTCGAAAGCTCAAACAAATTCAAATGATATATTCGTAAGCCACGCCGAGTAGAAATGCAAACACACAGGCCAAATTCGAATCATCTGCACCACAAGCATATTACTGTGCCTCAAGAACACGCACCTGTGTTATCTGATCATTTTATCACTGATCGTACACATCTGCGTATGAGAGAAGTCAAGCTGAATAAATGATTTTAAGTAACTGAAACTGTTGAAAGCAATTGAAACCTTGGTTAAAACAGATGGAGTATTTTATTCTAACATAAGAGCTATTTTGAAGCTTTCAGTTGTTCTTCGTCTGACGAAACGCTTAGCAGAGTGATACTTTTTTGACTTTGTTGTCTATTCATCGACAATGCCACTTGAAGCACACCTTTAAAAATCCATGTCGTTTAGAACTTCTAAATTAACTTCTTGACTTTCCAACAGCTTAACTAGGTTAATTTACAGTCTGGAGACACCAGGCAGAACAAAAAGATGAAAACAAACTTTCTTTCACGGTTCTTTACATCATAATGAAACAGAAATTAGTGTTAATAACAATGTATAAAATACGTTATCTGATTTTTATCTGTTGTATATATCTGTAATTATACTTCACCTAATGAAATAAAACTAGTTGGACATTTTATGAAACATTATTTACTTCATTATGTTTCCTCTTAAAACAAAAAACTGAACTACTTTTTCACACGTCTTCTAGGCCGTCCCACGTCCAAATATTTTTGTGAATCCTCTTCTGACTGGATGATATGCCACATAAAAAATTATAGCTACGACGCAAACCTTCAGTCTGAATAAAGCCAAACAGCCAAATAACACCGTAATTATCTGTCCTTCAACGACAATGCTAAACTTCTATACTTGAAAAATGTGTCTAAGATCATGCTAGAAGAACATTTTTATTACACACGTTAAGTGTTTTTATAAACTGTATTCCAGACTTTGAAAAACAAAGAACGATTTAAAGGTAATAAGACAGATGCTAGCGGAGAATAACGTGGGTAAGGCCCCTCCAAAAAACATTTTTTTCCCTTTCAACTTTCACATAATGTTATTTGTATGCCAACCATTTAAGAAAAAGTTCTGTCTTCCTAAAAAAGTCTCTATTTCCCCTTTTGAGCCCCATCTATACAATTTTTACTAGGTTGTTGAATTCGTTTGAGCTGAAATACGATTACTGTTACAATAATTTTGGTCTCATTTCTCTTACGTTCGTTTCTTCAGTAGTGGAAGCTAGAGCAGTGCCTTTTGAGCCCCATCTATACAATTTTTACTAGTTTGTTGAATTCGTTTGAGTTGAAATACGATTACTGTTACAATAATTTTGGTCTCATTTCTCTTACGTTCGTTTCTTCAGTAGGTGGAAGCTAGAGCAGTGCCTGATGATAAGCTGAATTATTGTAAAGGAAGATACAATTAGAATCTATATAGATTTTACAAGTACTATATATATATATATATGCATATATGCATATAATTCATATTTTTCTGTTCGCTAGAAATGCGTAATTGAACTAACTAATTTAATGAACTTACACAACACTCTCCTCAACTTTGTCCCAATTCCAAGGTTGCTTAGCATCACACCAAGGAACGGTTACATTCAGCTGAAGTTCTTCTGTCGCTGACAAAAACAATAAAAAGAAACATCGTACTCGTTACGCATTTATTACATCTCTTCCAGATATAGTATTAGTAGCAAAAATAAATCATTGCTGTTTCAAAAAAGATTTTTACGTATAGCCTTGGAAAAGCATTGTAATGATAATGATTTTTTGTCAAGCTGAGAAATCTTTATCATCTGGAAATATTCACCGACAGAAGATAAACCACTAAGCGATGTGTGAGAAAAATAATCATAAGTTTATCTGCAATCCCTCAAAAAATTCTTTAAAAATCTGTTTGTTTTTGTCTTCAACTTAACACATAATTTTAATGCTGTAATTTGTAAAGTTTTATATTGATAAAAGAAACACGAGAATTCAGACATCTTTGTAAGGTTATGACGTGGTGAACATATATACGTATATTCAGTTATTCATATATATTACGGCAAAAAAAAGAGGAACATAAGAGACAGAAAAATATCACTAGGGTTTTAGCTGCTTCGTGGAAAGGGTAGAAATGTACTTTTTAAAGAAAGATATCTCCAAAGATATAACACAATAATAGGCATGCATATTCTAATAGATTCAGAGGCCTCACTTGTGAAAAAAAAAGAAATTTATAAGAGTAAAATTTTCTTTATTCTTATACACAAAACTGCACAATGGGCTACCGGTGTTGTGCTCACCACGGGTATTGAAACCCGATTTTTAGCGTTATAACTTTCAGACTTACCACTGAGCCATTGGGAGGAAAAAAACAATGATTATTTCTTCTGCACATAGTTATATTGTTGTAACGTAGATAAAACAGTACTGTCTACTACTATATTATAAATAGTTTATTGCATGTGCACATACAATAAAACTTGAATAAAAATGCTTCTTTTTGGGAGTTTCGCCAGGAAAGAGATACACTCACTGAACTTTCAAGAAACGGCAAAATAACTTAGCATTTATATGAAAGATAAATATTCATTAAAGGTGATTTTGTATCTAACAAAAAAAAAAAAAAACGTAATAAGTTAAAGTTTCTTCTTAGTAAAACTTGAGGTCTTGTTCATCTCCTATATTTTTACAATAAATACAGAACGTTAAGGAACTACAAATCTATAATCTACAAATAGTCAGGTGAAATATTCTAAGAAAGTAGTATTGAATGTCCGATCATTTTGTACAACAAAATTTATGAATATCACTACAAAGCAATTGCGAAATGGAAAGATTGAATCCTGCTATTCCTTATCTGGTTCTTAATTCAGAGAATGTGTGGTATTTTATTCAGAAATGTAATTATAACGATATTAGAGATGAACAGGGAAAGAAAGTTCAAGTCTAGTGCTTTTTAGTGTATTTTAGTTACCATTTTTTAGAAACATCCTTACAGGTAAAATGTTTGAGGTACCTGGTCCATAACTAAGAGAAGCCTCAAACTCTCTCTCTCACTTCCAAACCCAAAAAGAAGCTTCAAACACTATGTCTCACTTCCAAACCCAAAAAGAAGCTTCAAACACTATGTCTCACTTCCAAACCCAAAAAGAAGCCTCAAACGCTATGTCTCACTTCCAAACCCAAAAAGAAGCTTCAAACACTATGTCTCACTTCCAAACCCAAAAGAAGCCTCAAACGCTATGTCTCACACACACAAACCCAAAAGAGCCTCAAACGCTACGTCTCACTACAAACCCAAAAAGAAGCTTCAAACACTATGTCTCACTTCCAAACCCAAAAAGAAGCCTCAAACACTATGTCTCACTTCCAAACCCAAAAAGAAGCCTCAAACGCTATGTCTCACTTCCAAACCCAAAAAGAAGCCTCAAACTCTCTCTCTCACTTCCAAACCCAAAAAGAAGCTTCAAACACTATGTCTCACTTCCAAACCCAAAAAGAAGCCTCAAACGCTATGCCTCATTTCAAAACTTCCCTTTAATGAGAACATGATGTGAATAACGACCTCATGCATTTCCTGGAAAGAAACTAGAACTGGAGCACGTGTTTTACATGACGTAACTAAAACAGAATTTTCTATTAATATTGTTATGTCTCTGTTCGTTTGTTAATTCTCCGAAGAAATTCTTTGCCAGAAACTTCAGCGATACAAGTCCTTTCTTAAATAAAACTAGTTTATTCTTTCTCAATACAACTTTGAAATACACTTAATTTCCACAGTCACTTAAACACGCGCTATAATTCACAACGAACGATTCACGCACTTTAGTTACTACCGCGCTTGACTCATTTGTCCGTCTCTGTCTGTCTGCAATTATCTATCTCTATCGTCACTTCTCGCAGGTCTTATATATACAAAATAGAGGGCGTATCTAGCAAACGCTAGGACGTTCGACAGGTTCCTCCATCTTTCTAGAACTCCAGCGCATGCTCCCAGCGTCGCGCGACTTCCGCTGTCGTAACAATATGTAGTTTCC